TGAGTTGGGTTGGGTTAAGATTTTTCCAAACCGCAAGCATTGGATTGGGTTGTTCAAATGTGTTCAACCCGATCAACCCAACCCATGAGCACCCTTAGCCTCTCTCTTTCTTCTTGCACTTCTTCATCTCTACCACTCCTCACTAGCATCTTCACCATTTTCTTGTGTGGGTTAAGGGTGGAGAGCTAGGGGACGAAGAAAAGGGGGAAGCGGTGAGGTCGATGGTGTTTTGAGTGTAGGACCGGTAACATACCGAAGGAGTAGGCATGGAGTGATGGTTGCCATAAAAAAGATCAGAAATCGTAACGGATCAGAATGGGGTTGTAAGTTGGAGTTAGTGACATGTGCAATTATAGTGGTGAGGGTGGTAGAGAATGGGGAGGGTGGTGACGTTTGGTGTTCAGAAGGGCGTCAAAAATAACTACGAGCCGGTGGAAACTGATCCGGCAAACGAGGTGGGCAGGTTAGCATTAATGTGTAAAAGAAAATACGTTTGAAAAACATAAATACCTTATTTAACGGACAATTTTTGACAATAATACAATAAATAACCACTTTCAAAGCAAAATACAAACGTCAATATCATTTATTTGCGTAAAGCAGATAAGTCGAAATTGTAGTTTACCCTTTCTTTTCTTATAACCCATTTTAATTCTTTACTATTGAGTAATAATTAAGATAAAATTGTCCCCCTTTTTCCTTACATTTAGCTATATACAACTTTTAGCCCCGTTTTTCTGTGTCACCACGCATTATTGGCTCTCCTTTTTTTTGATTTTAAATCATAAATTCGATTTTAAATCATAAATTTAGTTTGATTGTTGTTATAATACAATAAAATTGGTTTTATAAGACACCTAAAATATTTAAATATCCTAATAAAATGTTTTATAAGATTTACTTATATAGAATTAAATAGTAAAACGTCTTATCTAAAAGTGTTACAATAATTTTATAGGATGTTTTTTGATGTTTTGACAAATTCCTTTAGAACACTTTTAAAATAAAGTGTCATATTGATTTTTTTATAGAACATATATTATTTAAAAAAATGTACTATAAACATAAACTCTACAGTCTACACAGAGAATATGGGTTTAAAGTATGGAAGCAAAGTTTGATTATAACAATTTCCTATTTCTATTTAATAATCAATCAAGATCCATATCGAGTAGTCATTTACAACCAGTTTTAGAATCACATGTGATTTTTTAGAATGCAAGATATATCTATCAACCTGCTTATGTCTACATACCTATCAAAGGAGTTTTAAGTCTCGTTTTTGAGATATAAACAAAACAAGCGTGTGAATTTCGACTATCCCCAAGTAAATTCCGTGAACCCAAGGCTGTAATAACGTCGAATTATTACTCTTGGAAAGTGTTCCTGACATGATCCAAGTTTCTATTTTCAGGTGTCATTTGAATACATCATTGATATCACGGAACCCTAGATTCTACCAGTTTATAGTAGAGATGGTCAGAAACCAATCCTGGCCCAGTCCTGACCAAAAACACCAGCCCGTTTTTCATGTACAAAGTCCGATCCCTAGACTTGGTCACGGTCCCGAACCGGGCCCAGATTGGTCCCATATAAATAAAAACATTTTTGAAGATTTTCCTTTTTTACACTTTAAATGTATTTCAAAAATCGGTTTGAGCTACGACTTGTATTGTGAGTTACACGTGATTTAAATTCACAAGTTTGTTTGAAGTTTCTCAAGATTTTTGATATATCATATATACGTAAAACGTTCAATATTTTTATAATATGTGTTCCGAGCATTTGTGTGGCAATAGGGATGTACTAAGATATGATTTTATAAAGACGAGCATGCTCTGTGAGCTTGTCTAAGCCGTAAGTTGTTGGTCCAAAAGGGTCTACAAGAATACTAAACAGTTTGTAGAAGAGGGGGGATGAATACAAACACAATTTTCAAATTTAAAATATATATTGATAAAGAAGATCAATACAGATTTTACAAGATTGTCTGCGGAAAGATA